CACTCTCCTCTTCTTCCTCATTTGCTTCCTGATTCTCGCTCTCTTGTTCATCATCAGTCTCTTGTCCATTATTGCTCTCCTGTTCATCACTAACATCTTGTTCATCGTCACTCTCTTTTTCACAACCATAAAAGCACTGTCGTTCGTCATTATTTTAATTTGATACAGAAAAGGTTGATGTTGTGAGCTAAAAGATATGACCCTTTTGTTTATATGATGACGGATTAGGGCCACATGCACGATATGCATGGAAGAAGAAAGCAGAGAGTGCATTGATGAAAGCATGTTCTGTACCAAACCCCAGAAGGAAGAAGAAGACTATTTTATATACAGAAAGATTTTAATGTGACGGTTATGGCTAAGTCTTGTGGAATGTCCTTGATGCCCCTGGCTTGGCTTGGTTAATCTGATCAATTTCTCCTTGCTTAGCCTCCAATATATGAGCCGGCATGCCTGATGCCGGCAAAGTGAAGTGCTTCCCTAGGATGTCCGACAGAGAATCAAAATCCATAGTTTTTATATGCTTAACCTCTTGGTTCAAGATGGGAAGAAGCTTTTGAGCAGAGTGAAGCCTAAGCCTCATGGCTTTCCCCCAGGTAAAACAATGTCAATTGCTGTTCAATTTGGAACCTTATTTCAATGGAGACATCTCTTATTTGTGCTTCCAAAGCTTTGTTTAATGCTTCATCACACTCCCCCACTTTGAAATCTTGTTCAAGAGAGGTTTGCAAAGAAGACAGATGTTTGTAAAGTAATCTGACCTTTGTTTTGTTGCGAAGAGGGAAACGGGGTGTGGGTTGGAGGAAGTGTTGGTGTAGTGTGTCCATTAAAATGGTTACGGCACCAAAAGCCGCCATAGCCAGTGATGGATTTTGGAGAGGGGAGAAAGTTAATTGAAATTGTGGAGATGAGAAGAAATAATTATGTGGAATGCAATTTTTGCAGAAGTTTAGGATGAAGCAGACTGCAACTTTTCAAAAGATAAGTTTATTTGATTCACTCATTCGCATCCACACAATACTTTCTAGAATAAAATTGCATCCACAATAATTGTTCCCAACTTATATACGCAAAATCACTAGGAATCTCTTTAAAATATACTGCATTAAGGAAAAGATGTTCAAGTAGATGAGAGTATTGTGTTTGTAGTATTGTATTGATAACCAAATATCCACAGAGTACAGAGATATATTATACATTCACATAGACTAGTAGTACAGAGATGTTCAAGTAGATGAGGGAGACATCGGTTTTGGACGCCGCAAAACCCACAGACAACAGAAAATCATGCAACCGTTTGAACCAGGCCCGCGGAGCCTGCTTCAACCCATAAAGCGAACGCTGAAGCAAACAGACATGATAAAGAAAATTCGGATCAGAATAACCTGGAGATTTCTGCATGTGAACCGTCTCCTCCATATGCCAGTTTAAGAACGCATTGTGCACGTCTAACTACCGGAGAGCCCAACCATGAGACAAAGCAATAGAAAGTAGCAGACGAACAGTGGTAGGTTTGACAACCGGGCTGAACGTTTCAAAAAAGTCCTCACCGGCGACCTAATTGAAACCTTTGGCCACCAAACGGGCCTTATAGCGTTCCATAGAACCATCAGCCTTACGCTTCGTCCGAAACACCCACTTGCACCCCACAACATTCATACTGAGGTCCTCCGGAACCAAACGCCAAGTGTGATTATGAACCAACGCGTTAAACTCATCGTCCATAGCTGCACGCCACTCTCGATGAAGAACAACCTGAGAATAGCACGTCGAATCAAGCGCTACTGTGGACACTAGAGCTTGCAACGGACCATCATGCGGCATATGCCGAAGGACCATCCGATGAGTACGATGTCGCGGTCTGCCAGCACCACGACGTCTAGGAGCACGCACCGGGGTTGACTCAGAGCTCTCGGCCTCACTTGAATCACCAACCGCCTGGTCACCAGTCCCATTATCCTCTATATCAATCACACGAGGCAAAGTGGTAGAGACAACCGGTCCAACACCCCACGTTTCTAACTAAGCACCAACTGAAGGAGCCTGCAAGGAAGAAGACCTAGCAAAAGGGAACACACTTTCATCGAAACGGACAAAGCGACAAATAAACAACTTCCCCGTACTAAGGTCCAAGCAACGATAGCCCCTAAAAGACAGAGGGTAACCTAGGAAGATACACGGGGATGACCGGTAAGCAAGCTTATGCTTATTATACGGTCGCAAATATGGAAAACAGACACACCCAAAGACCCTGAGAAAGGAATAAGAAGGATCGTAATTGAACAGCTTTGCAAAAGGACTACTCATACCAACAACAGAAGAAGGTAACCGATTAATCAAAAACATAGTGGACCCAAACGCATAGTCCCAGTATTTAAACAGAGCAGAACACGGAGAGCAAGTCCCGTCTCAACAATGTGTCGATGACGACGCTCAACTCTCCCGTTCTGCTCGTGTGTATAGGCACATGACTAACGGTGGGTGATCACGAGAGAGGAAAAAAGAGCACCTAACTTACAGTACTCACCCCCTAAATCAGATTGAATTGTCTTAATTTGACGTGAAAACAAGCGTTCAACCATCAAACGAAAGCGAATAAACACAGCATATATATCTGATTTGAGACACAACGGATATAACCAATAAAAACGCGAAAAATCATCCACAAATATAACGAAGTAACGAAAACCAGTTGTAGACAAAACAGGCGCATGGCCCCAAATATCAGTATAAATCAAGTCCAATACATGAGAACTAGAAGTCTCAACACAAGATAGGGGAAAACGCGAAGATTTCCCTAACTGACATGACGAACATAAAGAACTAGAATCAAAGTCCAAATTGCTAACTGAACAAGAACATAAAACACGACTCAAAACCCGATAATGTGGATGACCCAACCGCTTGTGTCATACCCCTGACGAAACACGAGGGGACAAAAATGCAACCCGAGACGAAGGAAGCTGAAGCGAATAAAGGCCTCCAGACACAAGACCCTTAAGAAGAAACGCCTTGTTAACCCGGTCCTTCACAACAAAACAATCAGAGTAGAACTCAAAATAAACATTATTATCACGAGAGAAATGCTGAACATAAAATAACGAATTCGACAAACGTGGAACAATAAGAACATTAGACATAGATAAAGGTTTAGACGTAGAAATAGTTGCACGACCAATACGAGAAATTTGCAAACCTTCACCACTGCCTACGCGAAGAGTATCGAACCCGTGATACACCTCGAACTCCGTCAAAGTCGCATCCGAGGGAGCAGCGTAGTGCGTAGCACCGGTGTCCGGAAACCATGAATCCGAACCAGCAGCCCCCGTCTGACCGACAGCAGCTGTATGAGCCTCCGGTGCACCCATCTGCAAGTCAAACCGGCGATAGCAATGGAGAGCCGAGTGCCCATGAGTCAAACATCGCGGTCCTCTGCCACCGCGACCACCACGAGCCCCTCGACTACGATTACCGCCGCGCTAACCACGACCAGAAGTTGTGGACTGTCCACCATGCCAAGAAATGCCACCGGACTATCCACCTCGCCAGGAGTTACCGCCAGATTGTCTGCCACCGAGATGAGCTGCCATCGCCGCCGGACCACCCACTAGGGAATCAACCACCGGAGAGAATTCATCACCTCAGATAAACTGCTACGCCGTTAAGAAGTCGGAAAGTTGCTCGACCGTAACCGGTGTACCGGAGGTGAGCAAACTGGACGCCATCACCCGGAACTCCGGACACAAACCCCTAAAAACATACAGGTTCTGCTCATCCGGAGACACCGGCCTGCCCGCCATAGCCAACTCCTAAAGCAATACCTGAGCACGACCCAAATACTCGGAAGGAGAACTATCACCCTGACGAAGCCCTTGTAGCTGTCCAAGCAGGCCAAGAGCTTGAGCACGCGTGGAGGAACCGAACGCTCCTTCAACTGCCAGCCAAACAGCCCGCGATGTCGTCCGACCAACCACGAGATACATAGCTTCGTCAGAAAGGGAAGAGACAAGCATCGAAAGGATCGATTGATCCTGTTGTACCCATGCGGCAAACCCGTCGTTCACCACCGGAGGAGCACCATCATCGGCGAGAACGGTCGACGAGGGGCAAGTAATGGAACCGTCGACGTAGCCGAGAAGACCTTAGCCAAGGAGGAAAGGGACTGACTGAGTGCGCCCAAATAGAAAGTTACGCGAGGTGAGCTTGATCGAGACAAAGTGGTGAGCCGACGACATGGACGGCGGCGCCACCACCTGAGAAGATGTCGGAGTACTAGCAGTGACGGTGCGCTCAGACGAGGCACCGCACCGGTTTGATTGGAAGACGCCATCCAGGATTGAAATAGAGCAATTGATACCAGATGAGAGTACTGTGTTTGTAGTATGGTATTGATAACCAAATATCCACATAGTACAGAGATATATTATACATTCACATAGACTAGTAGTAGAGTTATACAAGGACATAACTATAGATACCTAATAAAGTACAGAAAAATGATTGCTAGTGGCTTCCCAACATTGTAGACCACACCCGCTTATATTCAACAACTTTAATCTCCGAAATAATCCATCTTTGGGTTCCATTTTCGATCATCAACAACACCATTATTACACAATTTGAGGTCCTCAAGCTTAGACAACATACTGACAACATCTATATCCTTCCATTTCAAAAATGTATCAAAGAGTTCCAACTTCTTAAGATTCGGAAAAAAATTCTCTAGACTCTGCATCCCCATAGAATGAATAGTTCGAAACTTCCCATGAAGATGTTTTCGTCCAACCACTAGTTCTTCTAGATTAGGTAAATAGACAAGGCTTTCAAACTAATTGGGAGCTTTGCATTTTTTTTAGATTAATTATTGTATGATCAGTAGTAACTTCCAATGTCCTTAGATTTGGAATTCCCAGGAACAACTCCTTTGTACAACCCCTATAATCCAAAGTTCTAATGCTCTCCAAATTATGATAAACTAATCTTGGAGGTACTACTGTAAGGACACCACTAACAAAGATATACCTTAGTTGAGGTAATCCCCAAATATCAAGGGGTTCACATGATGATGAATAACCATAAACTTCTAGTTTCTGTAGATTCCGCAACATGAACAAAGGCTGACAATGAATATTCAACTCAGAACGAATAGTTAACCATCTCAGATGCACTAGACCCACAATCTCCAAAAAAAAATATTATTGAGATTTTAGCAACGGAAATTGGCTATTTCGGCAGCTTAGCGTGGCTCGCTGAATGGTATTTTTATATAGGATTTTGGTAATTGTTATAGAGAGAACATAAAAGAAATAAAATGATTAGAATAGTAAACATAGAAATGATATTAGAGCAATAGAGCCTGGAAAGAAGGAGATAATGAAAGACTAAGATATAAATTATTAACTTACTTTTTACATACAAAATGAATGATAATTACGAAGCTTCAACCAGTAAAATAAATAGGTCAAAATGTAAGATGTTGATACTAGATTGTACAACACGGTCGAGTTTATGTTGAAGTCTTCATATTACCGTGCTTGTGTAGATGTGTGGTGTGTTGGTTGCATCTATCTGATATGATCTTCATGGATTAAGGATAACCACATCTTAAGTGCAAGAACAATATGAGAAAATTGGGGAGAAACACCTATCCCGCTAATTTACCCACAATGAACGTTAGAATTCAAGATATTTCGATCTAGAATTAGAACAAAGAATTGCTCCACTTTTGTGATGCCTCAATTCCAAACTCTTAAGCTCAAAAGCATTCTAAAGTCCCAATTTTCCAGGTTTCAAAGGTAATAATTGGGTTGTGAGGAGAGAGGCTCCTCACCCAACTTTCATTGCGATGATTTACACTCCAAGGACAAGCCAATCTAAACATAACCTTCTTCACAAGAGTGAGCCCTAGAAATGAGTTTTCCCCTTTTATGAAAAATCACATAACTAGCAATTAGGTGGGAGATTAATCTCCAATTCAAACCCCACAACCCACTACTCACGCTTATAAGACATAAACACAAATATCCAACAAGGACATAACACAAATAAAACAAAAGAGATGTCTTCAAAAACTTCTCTTAATGGAGAAATCCGAGTTGAGGTGGAACAATCCACTCTAATCCAAGTATGTAAGCTGAGTAGATGGATTCTTTTGAAGAAAAATAATCTAATCTAAGCAAGAAAGCTATCTGAAAAATTAGGAAAAAGTTCTTTGCTCTCCCCCACCAAATTTTAATACACAAGATTGGGAGCGTTGCACAGGCAATGGCACGAGCGTGTGAGCGCCCGTGTACGTACGGGCTTTCTCGCGCCCCGTGCAATGTATGTGCCCAAGAACGGGTCCCTACAGGTGCATGTCGACGTCGTGTGATGTCATCAGATAGAGACATAACTTGTCTTGGCTCTTGAACGCGATCCTTGTTCTTGATTATCCAATGATGCTCTCGATCATCTCAAGGACTCCTTAATTAGTGCTGCAAATCATCCAAAAATCTCCATTTTCTTCACTTCCCTTGCCATTGAAGATAAAAACACCTAAAAGAAGCAAAATAATACTAATAAACCTTATGCAATGCAATAAATGGTGCAAACTAAGCACAAACTTGGTTAAAGAACGAGGTAAAATGTGTACAAAAATACACTTATCATTATGCATCATGAAAATCGTACAAATTGACACTTATCAAACACTTAAATAGAAGTGAGAGACTCTCCACACATATTATGAACAAATACGGTTACAATGGGTCCCCTCGTAAGAGTAACCTACCCTGCCACAAGACCATTTACTAGCACATTATATTTCATTGTTGAGATACATACCGTAATCAACCTCACCCAATCCTCCTCAAACCCAAGCTTTCAAAGCATGCACTCCAAGATCAAAAGCCCCACCCGCCTGCCCAGTGCCCACCCAACTCTCACCTTAAATAACCAGTGGGCCTGGAAAAAAAATGAAAAAAAAAAGAAAGAGAAAACTTACTCATTATGAAAGTATAAAGGGTATTGTATATGTGTATAGTCTATCTCCACTCTTGTATCATTCTATTGTGAATACACTTACAGTGATCACTCATCAAGGGAACACAGTATCCACCTTAAGAATCATAGTTTGATGTGTGGGTAAAACCTCTGGGCAACATACCATTGGAATATGGTTAATAAATTAATGGTTGAAATTGATATAAATTTGGATTAAAATTAAGAAAAATAAGGATTCAAAAATAGAATCATATTTTCATTTTTTATTTTTTTTGGAAAAGTAAAAGTAGATATAGAAATCTGACCTTAAAATATATCAACAACAAATGTGTCATTTCCATACTCTTGCTGCTCGTTTTGTAAACGCTTAGCAGATGATTTAAGTGACTCTAAACAACCATTTAATAATTTGATTGATTTGAGAGTAATTATTTCTGCAAAACCACTAGGAATTTCTTTCAAAGCTATGTAACCAAGGACTAGTTTTTCAAGGACTGGAAAATGACTACTAGTGGCTTCCCAATATTGTAGAAGACTACTATGTATCGTCAAGAACTTTAAACGACGAAATCCTCCATCTTTGGGTTTCCATTTTTGATCCATAACAGCACCTATATTCAATGTGAGGTCCTCAAGCTTAGATAACTCACCAACAACATCCATATCCTTCCATTTTAAATTTGTATTAGAGAAACTTAACTTCTTAAGATTTGGCCAACAATTCTCCAGGCTTAGCATCCCCATAGAATAAATAGTTCTAAACTCCGGAAGTACGACATCATCAACCACTAGTGTTTCCACTTTATATAAATAGACAAGACTTTCAAACCAATTGGGAGCTTTGCATTCAATTAAATGATTAGTAGTAAGATTCAATGACCTTAGATTTGGGATCCTTAGGAACAACTCCTTTGTACAACTCCTATAATCCAACCTTCTAATGCTCTCCAAATTATGATGAACTGATCTTGGAGGAACTAGTGTAATGCCAGGCCAAACACAGAGATTCCTTAATTGTGGTAATCCCCAAATATCAAGGGGTTCACACGATGATGAATAAGGAACTTGTAGCTCCTGTAGATTCCGCAACATGAACAAAGGCAGATACTGAATATTTAACCCACAAGGAATAGATAAGTATCTCAGATGCACTAGACCCACAATCTCCAAGAAAATATTATGGACATTTATCTCCCCATCCAATACTGCCAATGCCCTTAAAAACTTAAAATGTGCATACACCCTCAACCGTCTTGAATTCCTGCCAAAATGCTCCCATTCACAATCATCAATCAGTGAAGAAGTGTTGGTAGTAGGAGTTATACTGTTGTAACTGCAAATTCTTGATTGGATGCTCCATGGTTGAGATATATGAGAAGAGTTTATTGATTGATTTCTCTTCCACCTCAAACAACTAATTATATCATAACCCTTCTTGAAACATAAAAGATTTTCTTTTTGGGCTTCTCTCAAAGCCAATTCACGCAAGACATCATGCATTTGATATCTATCATTTCTCTCTCCACAAATTAGAAGATTTCTATCCACAAGATCTTGAATGTTCCTCCTTGCCACACCTTCCAAGCTCTCATCAGATCTCAAAACCTTTAGAAATCCCTCTGAAACCCAAAAATCAACCATCCTTTGTTCAGAAACCACATAATCTTCTGGAAAACACCCAAATGACAAAAAACAAAGTTTAAGGTGATGAGGCATGAAGGTGTAACTCAAATCAATGATGTTCTCACCCTGCTGATTAGAATGATCTAAACTCAAAGCAGGGACACATTTTGCAATATGCTCCCATTCATGAATAGTTTGGTTGGAGTTTGAGAGGAGTCCAGCAACCACAATAATTGCAAGAGGTAATCCTTTGCACTTGTCTACTATCTCTCTACCAATTTTTTCAAATGTAGGGGACAGTAGAGTAATTGATCTCTTACACACCTTGCTCTGAAAAAGATTCCAACTTTCATTTGAATCCAAAAAACGCAATGTATGGCAAAAATTATTACCTGAATCAGCATACTCAGCCACATTTTTTTGCCGAGTGGTCAACAATATTCGACTTCCAATATTGTCATCCTGAAAACATCTCATTAAATCATCCAAGACATCTGTATTCCAAATATCATCTACTACGATCAAATACCTTCGATGTTTTAGAAGCCTGTATACTTGCTCAGCCAATTCGTAGTTGTGACTGGCCCCTGGGGCAAGAGAATGAAGCAGGCATTGGAACACTTGTGTTGGATTATAGTCCTGTGAGATAGTAACCCAAGCTTGACAATCAAACCAAGAAATGACTGAAGCATCTTCATAAATCTTTCTAGCTAAGGTGGTTTTACCGATACCACCCATTCCCACAATCGAGACAATTACTCGTTTTGAGGATTGCAGGCTCAGGTTGTCCATTATGGTGTTGAACACATCATCGCAGCCCACCATTTTGATTGCAGACTTTGAATCACCAACCATAATGTTGCCGCGTTCTGGCCTTGTAGGAGAAACGGGATTATTGTTGTTTTGTGAGTTGTTGGATTGGTGGTATGCATTCTTAACCTTCAACATCTCTTTCTTGATGTAAGATGTGAGGCTAATTCCTTGGATGAAGAGTTGACGAATCCTTTGTGTAGCCTGTATCCGTTGTTTCATGTATTTGTTGAGATAAGAAGCTCTCAGTTCTTGTCTGATTACACTTTCTGCTTCATACAACATATTCCTCCTTCTCTCTACCTCTTGCTCATCATCATCATCATCATCATCATCATCATCGTCTTCATCTTCATCTTCATCTTCATCTTCATCTTCATCATCATCATCATCATCATCATCATCACTATCTTGCTCATCATTATTATCATCACTCTCTTTTCCATAGAGAAAGAGTTGATGCTGCGTGCAAAAGGATTTGACCCTTTTGTTTATATGAGGCGGCATGCCTGATACCGGCAGAGTGAAGTGCTTCCCTAGAATCTCCATCACAGAATTGAAATCCATAGTTTCTAAGCCGTCTTTAATTGCTCGATTCAATATGGGGAGAAGCTTTTGAGCAGAGTGAAGCCTAAGCTTCATGGATTTCCCCAGGTAAAACAATCTCAATTGGTCTTCTATTTGGAACCTCAGTTCAACCGAGACATCTCTCAGTTGTGCTTCCAAAGCTTTGATTGTTTCATCACACTCCCCCACTTTGAAATCTTGTTCAAGAAAAGTTTGCAAGGAAGAAAGATTTTTGTAAAGTAATCTCACATTTGTTTTGTTGCGAAGAGGGAAGAGGGGTGTGGGTTGGAGGAAGTGTTGATGGAGTACTGTGTCCATTAAAATGGTTACAGCACCAAAAGCCGCCATAGCCAGTGATGTTGCAGAAGAGGTAATTAAAATGGATTTTGCAGAGAGGAGAGAAAGTTGAAATTGTAGAGATGAGAAGAAATGAGGAAGGAATTTTTGCAGACCAGAGTATAGGATAAACACAAGTTTTCTTTATTATTATTTTTTTATTTGGAAAAATAGAATTATTTTAGTGACCTTCATGAATTATTCCATCTGAGTTGGAAGCAACTAATCAAACAAGTCAACAACAGATGCTGAAATCTTGAGTGCTCCGTGCCCAAAATCTTGAGTGCTCAAACAGCCGGATTCAAGCTGGCTCTGATCTTCAAGCAGATTATTTGCTTGAACTACAACGATTGAAGACTCTCCATTGAAATGTTGGCATGTATCCTTATACCACAAGAGCCCGTCTTGACAACCAGCAGCATCAGAACTGGAGCGGACCTATCGATCTGCCTTTGGCCCGAAGCAGGCCCTCAAGAAGTTCATCAACCCAGATAACATCCCTCATCTCACCCAAACCATCCTCCAAAATCATCCCATCTAAAGATGCAGCGTTTTCATTATTATCAGTTTGGTTTTCTATCGTGCTTAAGTGTGCCACTTGCAGGGTTGGCTACAGAAGAAGATAGATAGAGAGAGAGCCCTCCACGGCGTCTAAACGGCGGAGTAGCCCTCCACGGCGTGGCTGCGGTGAAGCCGAAGCAGTGGCGCGTGCCTAGGCGTGAGGTCAACGAAGCTGGCCAGCTCTATGATTGATAATCTGTGGGTGGGAGAAGAAGATATATAATTTGTGGGTGTTCATGTTGAGCGAGAGTGGCATAAGTTCCAAAACAACTCAACTTAATCAACTTAGTTATTAATACTTCAATTTAGGGAGAATTAATAAAAATAAGCTCCACATCAATAATTACCGGTGCCATGTCAGCCGCGAAACCCGAAAACCTGCTAAATGGTCTAGGTGACAAATTTTTAACGGTTTGTGGATCGAAATAGCATATATGAAAGATTAAAGTGCGGCATGAAGAATCGCTTATGGTTCATGGTGCGGGATGACACTTCAGCATATAAATTTTATACACTAACACTAAACTAAATACTATAAAAATTTGAATAGTAAATAAGTTGAGTCAAGTCTTATTAATCGAATTCGACACATCAAATAAGACGGAAAGAGTATATAACCAAGAAAAAAAAAAACCGACAAAAGCAATTATGCCCAACAAATAACAATGTGTATTTTATATCACATAAAATGAGACGAAAGAAGTACATCTCTATTATTTACCTAATTATGGTATCACATAAAATTTTAAGTGACTCTACCATTGGTATATAAATACTATACACCATCAATAAATCACAATGTCACATGCATCATTAAAGGGAAAAGCCAATTGTGATCAAACTTTTTTTTTTTTTTAATTTACATAATAACTTTTTAAAAATTGATAAAATTATTTAATTAAAAATAAATTTTATTTTTTCAATAACACAACTAAATTAAATAAGTGAATAATAATGCAAGTGGATGAACAAGAAACATGTCTTCCTTTCACCTGGCCCATTGGTGCATGTTTCTTGACTTCTTGTTCATCCACATGCACGGCTACAATGATGTTAGTTTTTTTTTTTTTTTTTTTTTTTTTTTTTTTTTTTTTTTTTTTTTTTTTTTTTTTTTTGTGAAAAAAGCTAAATTATCCCCTTAAATTAGTTAAAGAAGGAAGAAAAAAGCAAGTACTCCTAAAAAAGACTTCATAAAAACACAAAAATTTATATTTTTTTAAAAAAATCAATGGACCCTTATCCCAATAAATTATTATTTGTTATAGTGAGTTATTGTTTTATTAGTAATTGAAGTGGTATTTTAGTAATAGTAGTAAGTTAGAATTACCACTATATTGTAAGTAAAAATTATTGAATGAAAGAACAATTGGAAGAATGCATGATTTTTTTTTTTTTGTTTTTCATCGCAACTGGCATTTCGAATTTTAATTGCCTTGTAATATGGTTAGTGGCTTAGTTTATTTTAGGCTAAAGTGTCATTCTGCACCATGAACCATAATTTAGAGGCATAAATCATAATTTTTTTTCGTCTAGAACTTTTTACAGGTTTCCTACAGGTTACTAGTAATAATATTACTGACATGGAATTTTTTATAGTTTTTTTTTTTTTTTTTTTGTATTTTTCTTCTTTCGCCATCGTATTTTTTTCATATTTTTCTTTTTTCTTAAACATATAGACTTGCTCTGCGTTTTTCGCTTCTCGTTTCTCCGATCAGGCCTGCTCTACGGAGTTTGGTATCGGAGAAACGAGAAGCGAAATACACAGAGCAGGCCTATACGTTTAGGAAAAAAAAAAAGAAAAAATACGAAACAAATTATAATACGAAGGTGAAAGAAGAAAAATACCAAAAAAAAAAATTAATAAAGAATTCCGTGTCAGCAATATTATTACCGGTAACCTGTAAAAAGTTCTAGACAAAGAAAAAATTATGATTTATGGCTCTAAATATCACTTATTAAAGATCATGGTGCCCCATGAATAATCAAGAATCGTTCATAGTGCGGGATGACACTTTAGCCTTGTAATTTTTGCATTTCCTCATTTTTAATCGGATTAACTGAATTAACCAACTGATGAAAAGGACTGACCGATTCAGCGATGAAGTCAGTCAGTAATAACAGATCATAGAGATGTTTAAAGAAAGAGATAACAGAACAAAGCAAAACAATTTTAGCCTCTATTTTATTATAATAAAGCTATTAATATGATGTTCCCCACCCAGGTTTGTATCTAAAGTTAATTAAATTATTGTTCCCAAAGCTAAGACCAGTTTGTGTTCTAATTGCACCAAGGTTGTACTCTTATATGGGAAGTTGTGAGTTTGAGCCTCACTCAGTAACACTCAATTTTTTTTTTTTTTAAATGGAATAAGTGTTAAATAGGCCACAGAACTATACACAAAATTGCAATTGGGTCATCGTAAGATCAATCATGCAATTGAATCAAAAGTGACATGCTTACCTATTAGTTACAAATGTGGCGGTTACCAAATTTTTACAAAATAAAATATTATTTTAATAATTTAAAATAAAAATTTATTAAAAAATAAACTTGCTCATCTCCGTTAGAGAAACCTTCTTTGTCTTTGACATGAGACGATGAACTTTTCATCTATGGAAAGGAGACGAACGGACTTCTTCGTCTCCATGCCAGAGATGAAGAAGGATTCTTTGTCTCTAGGTTGTTGTAGACGAAGACCGGTTCTTCGTCTCCTGCAACCTAGAGACCGTGATGAGCAAGTTTTTTTTTAAAAAATTATTTTAAATTATTAAAATAAATTTTTAAAAATGAGTGTGATTTCTCAACAACTCTTTAATAATTGAGATTCTTTATCTTTTTAGTTGTATGTCATGTATTTGTCTTGGTCATTGTTTTTTTCTAAAAACATAATAAGTTTCAATCTAGGTTATATCCCTGGTTTATGTCCCTTTTTTCTGTTAATTTTTTTATACCTTATGCTATAAAAGTTGTACTATATAATTTTTTAGACAAAAATATCCTACCGTTATAACTTTTGTTATCTTTTTTCCCATTATTATTACCATGCACATGTATACACAATATTTTTCCTTACATTCTTCAATGATAAGTTTGAATTCATTTATATTTTACTTAAATGTTATCATAGTTATATTTAATAATTTATTATTTTTATTATTCTTACTTCAATAATATTAATATAAATTCTACAATTATAAATAAATAAATAAATAAATAAATAAATATATATATATATATATATATATATATATATATATATATATATTTATTTATTTATTTATTTATTTATTTATATTATTTAAAAAATATCTATTTTAATATAACTAAGATTTTAACATTAAGGATTAATATTGGGCATATATTTGTGCACATTGGGCATATAAAATACCAGTTCAATAAATAATTGTGAATTCTTTATCATTTTTAGTTGTATGTCATGCATTTGTCTTGGTCATTGTTTTGTAATAAATAATTGTGACTTCCCAATAACTCTTCAATAATTGAGATTCTCTAGTATTTTTATGTCATCTATACCCTAAAAAGGCGACTCTTCTTACTACCTAGCTTGTTCTAGGGGTGGACATTTCTGGTTTCGGTTTCAGTTTTAAAAAAATTAAACCATTCGGTTTAACAATAGAGTTCGGTTTTGGTTCAGTTTGAAAAAGTTGGTTTCAGTTTGGTTTGGTTCAGTTTTGATGGAAGTCCACTATTTGAGCGTTTTCTTTTTTGCCTGACCGATTGTTCAGTTGGTTCATTTGGAGTGCCACTTAAAGTGTTTTGTTGACGATAAGATGAAGAATAATCCATCTACATAGTTAATATTTGAAAAATAAGAATTATTAAAACAAATGTTGGGACTTACGACTTAGAGTTGAGGTTTGAGGACTTGAGGAGTTAAAATTATTAATTATTATAGTATTAATTATTTATATATAATACTAACATTTTGTACGCGCGATGTGCGAAAATTTATTCCCAACATTCAAAAATTGGTAAATGCAAATAATTACAAGTTATAGTTCAAATTATATTTCGCAATTCCTTAAAGTAGTAAATTTTAATCATCGTATTTGAAACTTATAGAGATGAACAAAATTTATATTTTTTTTATTAATAATGTAAACAATTTTTATATAATTTATACTTTGTTTTTACAATAAATAAACAAAATATCTATAATACTAATCTAGTACCCGATTACGTATATTGGTGTGTGTTTGTGCCTATATATATATATATATATATATATATATATATATATATATATATATATATATATATATATATATATATATATAGGCGAGTTCAGGTGCGGCGGTGTCTTACGGTGCGGCATCACCAATAGTTCAACAAATATACACCACCAACGTTAGGAAAATACACCACAAAAAAACAGAGGAAAATTAGGTACGCATCACCAAACACACACCATTAGGAGTGAGTAAAAACACCATACACTGTTCGGAAATACACCATTGGGGGTGGTGAGATATATGCTGTATTTTTTTTTGGATCTGTTGTGTATTTTTTGATGTTTTATTGCATTTCATTGTGGTGTGTTTTCCTTACACAGTTGATGCACATTGTTAACACTGTTGGTGTATTCTGAAATTCCGCCGCATGGGAAGACCCCGCCGCATTTGAACTTTCTTTTATATATATATATATATATATATATATATATATATATATATATATATATATATATATATATATATATATATATATATATATATATATATATATATATATATATAGGCTTCGAATCTGGTGCAACCCCTATACTAGATGAGATCATGAGATCTCATGATATCCATTGATTCATTTTTCATAAATGGTTGAGATTATAAGAGATTGTGAAAGTAATTAAGGATATATTTAAATCAAAAGGATTAAATAGTAATTGTAGATATATGTTTAATTATGAATGGAGATTGATATTTTAAATTATTAGGAACCTTATCAATGGTAATAACTAATTATATTTTGTACATCTGAAATATTAAATTATAAGAAATTTTACGGCGGTGTGTGCGTGGGTGTGGAATGGTGTGTGCGTTTTATAGTTTGCCATGGTGTACACCTCCTGTTACAGAAAACCGCACACGCCATTCCACACCCGCGCACACACCATCGTAAAATTCCCTACAATTTAAAAAAAAAAAACACAATTAGCCCAATACTATATATACGTTTCGCACACGCCCGAAACTAGTAAAACACAAACCAAAATGTACATGCATGTATCACGAAACGCACATACCAAAACGCATACTTTTATGAAAAAAAAATAGCATATCATGGTGTATGAGCCCTGTTACAGTAAAATGCACACACCATTCCATAACCACGCACACACCGTCGTAAAATTCCAAAGAAAATTACTAAGAGAGAGAGAGAAATAATAATTAAGGAGAGCTGAAATAACGCTACAAATCTTTATAAACATGGAAATAAATGAAATGGAAAGTAATAAATATAGTGCTTAAGGACAAAAAGACCCATGCTGCATCTAAAATCAGTATAACATGGGATCCAAGTGGTAATCAATCTGAATCGTCAAAAAATTAAAATCAACGATCAGGGAGTGTGCTCACGGGCTCGGCTGACTAGGGGGTGTGCACCGGATTCAAAATCTCTCTCTCTCTCTCTCTCTCTCTATATATATATATATATATATATATATATATATATATATATATATATATATATATATATATATATATATATATATATATATATATATAGAGAGAGAGAGAGAGAGAAAACAGTTCAGGTGTGAATTTCAGGTATCATGTGCACTTGTGCACTCATCCTGGCCGTGCATTTAGGTTGATCGATGGCCATAAATTAGTGAAATTAGTGTGCATTGTGGCCAGGTGCACCGCGCCCCATCTATCATTAATGGTAGTGTGCACCAGAAAATTAACCCCTCTCTCTCTCTCTCTCTCTCTCTCTCTCTCTCTATATATATATATATATATAAAGATTATATGATAACATGTGCTTAGATGAAAACGTAAGAACACATCATGTGCATCCATCTAATAATTTTTTAATGGTCTAGATTAGATTAAGTGTGTGCGAACGCGCATTAAATGTGTGCAAATGTGATTTAGTGTGTTTTGCACACATTTAATGCGCGTTCGCACACACTTAATCTAATCTAGACCATTAAAAAATATTCGATGGATGTACATGATTGTTCTCACGTTCTCACCTAAGCACATGTTCTCACTGGAACCTTACCATATATATATATATATATATATATATATATATATATATATATATATATATATATATATATATATATATATATATATATATATCGCAGCAAATGTTTATTTCTTCTAAAATGTAATACTCTTGAAGAAAAAATGTAATACATCTATATTTTGATTTAAAAGTATTACAGTACATTTGTTTTAGGACCAATGTAATACTTTTACATGTACTTTTGCCGTTGAGAATAAAGAACATTTGTGAAAATTTAAGTTAGAGAATTAAGGATTTAATATATACATTTACAAGTGAAGAAATCGACTCGGATTCTCCAAATGCATCCAACCACTAAAAACTCCGAAAATATTTTTCACAAATTATTTTTTGGGTTTCCAAACGGACACTTATTTTATATTGAGAAATTTGAAATATGCATTGTGAACTTGTTTAGATTTTCAAATTTAAATTATTAGTAAAAATAAATAAATAATTATGTGCGCAAGAGAACTAGCTAGAGAATGTTTGAGATCTCAAACCGAATCAAATCAAATTCAAGCCGAAATTGAACTATTTCAAATTGAACTGAAACCAAACCGAACTAAAATTTGAAACTAATGGTTCCATTTTTTCAAAATTGAAAAAACTGAAACCAAATCGAACTCGAAAAAAAAAATTGAACAAAAAATTGAAATGCCCACCCCTAGTAATACTCATACTGAGAAATGCAATACTTCCTCTATCCCATTTTGTCATCCAGTTTACTATTTATTGGTCAAATCGATTTTCTCTTCATTGTGTATTTTCTTTGGGAATTCTAATTATTTTTAAATTTAATTTTTAATGTGATAACCCGAACCGAAATGCCCACCTCTAAGCATTACATTTTCATATAAACCCAACCCGATCTATCTCACGAATAAACAGTATCACACAAATGTAACCCAAACATTTTATAAAGTCACCCAAATGGCAGAAATGCTAACCCTCGAAAGTTTCCGACACTACTGGAAATTATGGAATTTCCGACCACCTGAAAGTGATCTTAAATCAAGTTGATACCAAAAAGTGGTCGGAAATAGCAACAAAGGTTTTTCCGGATACCAAAAGTGATCGGAACAAGACTTTCGACTTGATTTAAGATCATTTTCAGGTGGTTGGAAATTCCATAATTTCCAGTAGTGCGATCAGCATAAGTAAAAATTGACCAATAGAAAACAGAATCTCAAGAACCAATGGGAAGTAATCCACAACTAAGCCTCAAATGTTTTAGAATGATACTCATATGCCTTCATCCACAAAAACCTATCATCATTTTCAAATCACTAATCCCTTACAATTATTCATACAAAACATCTCATCTATGTAGGGATGTCGATTTAGTCGCAAATTATGCTGTGCAACCGAATGCACCTTGCAAGGTGCATATGGTTGCAAAACGGTGCCGTTTTGGTTAAAAAAACACACGTCCCACTTAAAGAATAAATCAGGTTCGATTCCCGGCAATAGCATTTTTATATATCCAGAAATTCATAACTATATATCCACAAATTCATAACTATATATCGACAGTGAATGAATGAAGTAAAAATCCACAATGAATGAATGAATGTCATAACTATATATCCATAAATTCATAACTATATATCCACAGTGAATGAATGAAGTAAATATCTACAATGAATGAACTAAATATCCACAATGAATGAACTAAATATCCATAAATTCATAACTATATATCCACAAATTTATAACTATATATCCAGAAATTCATAACTATATATCCACAATAATGCTATTGCCGAGAATCGAACCTGAATTTTTGTTTTTAAAGTGGGACGCACGTTTTTAGTCAAAACGACATCGTTTTGCATCGTATGCACCATGCGCATGGTACATTCGGTTGCACAGCATAACTATTGCGATTTAGTCCTGAACCAATGGGCTGCCCCAATAAGCCCTAAAAATTGCAGGGCTAAAATCCAAAAAGTTCAATCCAATAAAAAAGTAAGCTCATTGGGTTGGCCCGACTCAATCCTATCGAGTTATTGGATTGAGTCGGGCCAACTCATGGATTGTTGAGCTGACCCGTGTAATATCCAATCATTATTGGATGGACCATAGTCCATACAACTTGTGTGGACCATGAATATAGGATACACTTTTAATATACTAAATGTACATTATTTGTGTATTGAAGGTACATTATTTGACAGTATATATAAAATAATGTACTTTTATAAACTAAACACATTATATATACACTACACACACACACACACTATATATATATATATATATATATATATATATATATATAAATTGTGGGAGGTTCCCGTGCGGTTGTGCGGTTATTAATGTGCGTGAGATTTGTACTCAATGTGCGTGAGTGTTGTGTCTAATGTGCCTGAGATTTGTACTTAATGTGCGTGAATGTGTAAAATGCAGCAGAAAATATGGATATCAGCTTCTTCCACATCCCCAGTAAAATGCAGCAGAAAATATGTTGGCCTGTGCTTATTCGACATCTGAGATGGTTGCTGATGCTCTTTTTGTTCTATCCAAGATGAAAGATTTGAATCTTCAAGTTTCAATAACGACATATAATAGTGTGTTGCTCTGCTTTACTGATGTTTACAATGAAATAAAAGCTTCCCAAAGTGAATACACAAATTCTATCCTTATCAATGGTCTATGCAGACCGATCTTGGTGCGAGAATCTGGAACTTCTGTTGTTTGCCTCAATTCCAGATTGTTGAAAATTCTCTTATTACTCACGCACATTAAGCACAAATCTCACGCATATTAAGCACAATAATATGGCACATTAAGTACAAAACTCACGCATATTAACATGACGCACATTAAGTACAAATCTCAAGCATATTGAGCATAACACTCACGCACATTAAGTATAAACCTCACGCACATTAATCCACCGCACAACCGCACGGGAAGCAACAAATGCACCTGATCCCTTCCATATATATATATATATATATATATATATATATATATATATATATATATATATATATATATATATATATATATATATACAGAAAAGCATTTGAGGCTGGAAGTACATATATAGCCTTTTAAAACGAGGAATAGAAACATCGTGAGACTCATCATAGTTCACTCTCAAATAGAGACCAACATCAAACGGTTACTCAATAAATCAATAAGAATGACAGAAGCAATCTTACTCATCAACAAGATACATAATACCATAATCAATCAAGGAATAACATTAATCATGCTCATAAGCAATAGAAAGTCAAGGATCGCATTCAACGATACGTTCCAAGTCCACGCAGGACATAGCCAAACCAAGACATTCATCGTGGAGTCATCGCAACGACCCGAATCATAGTGGACCAGTGTGGAGGGCTCCAAATCATCAATCACATACCATAGAGTCATCGCAACGACTCGAACCACAGCCCAGTGGAAACAGATCTAGCAACTTTAAGTGTATACACACCCTATTGGGATTCCAAGCCCAACGGGTTAGTTACCTTCTCTAGCAACGGGGATAAGTTTCCCAAGTTGCCCAAAAATCATAAGTATCAAACGGCAACTCGGAGCTTTAAACCCACTACTGGATCAGTTCACAATGGTTGATCGGGGCTTTAAACCCACCACCGACCTGTCAAGGGCTTCCCACACCAACATGACCCATTGCAAATAGAGCCAGAGGTCCGCCACACATATCAGTAACACATAAGTCCCCACACTGTCCATGTACTATTCCACCATATCAAATCCATCACAACAATTCCGCATCTCAACAAGAGTCAATACACACGGAATCTTGAGATACAACAAGGCATATATTCCACACGAAGTGTGTATATCAAGAGATAAGCTCAACAATAGCTTAATCAAGGAATAATCATGATAAGGTATAACATTTGTACAAGCTCATAATCATAGGTTCAATCGAAGGAATTCAAGAAAGAACATGAAGGAGACATTTCAACGTATTCCACAATAACGAAAGACTTCAACTCAAGAGACCACAATGATTGGTAGACACAAGTCACCAATCCTCATCAAGAATAGGCATGATCGATACAAGGAAATCACATACTAGTACCAATAACAACGTAGCTAGCATGCAATTCATCAAGGCAATCATAAGGGCTCAAACGAACATCATAGACTTCATTCCAATCCAACGAATCACAAGGTTGGATCACATACATGATTCAAGACTCACAAATCCTATCATGGGTACTTAAGACATCGTTCTAGACTTACAAAACATCAATCAAGACACACAAGTGCACAATGGATAAATAAAACGGAGGCCAACATACAACGTACTAGTGGGCGGAACGGTGGGTGGACAACCTCCTATCGTTCCCCCTGCTGTGTACCAGTGGGTGGAACCACGGGTGGACATCCACCCGTCGTTCCCCCTACTGTGTACCAACATCACCACCCGCGGGTGGACAGCCACCCACTGTTTGCTCGCGGGTACACATACCTAGGGCACAAATTTCCTTTGGGAAAAAACATCAACATTGCCAAATTAAAGTCCAAGACACCCAAAACCTCACATTCAACAATAAAGGGACTTGAACACATGAATAGCTCAATGAATAGCATTTATGAACCCTAGATACAACCTCTAAACATGCATAAACACAATATTATGCATCAAATCACTCATGAACATCATTAGAGTAACAAGAAATAATCATAACAAGTATAAAATAGGTTTTGTAGAGCATGGGTTACCTCTTAGTTCAGCAAATCACCACAAGCACTTCTACATCAACCTAGCCTCTCAACATCTACTTGATCTTCATCAAACTCCGAAAACCCAACAAGATAGAAGAGAGATTTTAGAGAAATAGGAAGGAAATCTTGAATAGAAAAGGTGTAGGAAGATAGATCTTACCACTTCTAGCCTTGGAGTGTTAGAAAGTTGGAGTCTTGGCTTGGATCGATCTCTTGAAGAAATGTGAAGATGAACTCAACGGTTTTCTTGGAGAGAAGGAGGAGTGGATAGCAAGAAAGAAGGGTGTAGAGAGATGGAGAATCCTGAAATGTGTTGGGGGTGCCTTGGCTAGGGTAGGGCTTTTAAGTTAGAAATTTGTGAAGAGACGAAAAGGGCCCCTTCTTCTCAAAAACAAATTAGGAGGACAACAAAGTCTAGAGTACAAGGAATAAAACATAAGGTCTACCCATTGACCAAATTAAAATGCTAAGGGATTTGGTTTGATTTGGTCAAACTAGGTCCATTAACTAATTTCAATGGGGAATTAAGAAAAGAATTATAAGGCCACAAGGAATTAATTAAGAAATTAATTCGGGTTTAAGGAGTGAATTTCCGGGGTGTCACAACTTATCATTATGCATTATAAAAATAGTACAAATTGACAGTATACTTATCAAACACCGGAGGAGCCCCACGCGCAACTCTCACCCCATGGATGTGCCGTCTCTCTTCGCTTCCTTAAAGAGAAGTGAGAGACTCTCCACACATATTATGAACAAATACGGTGACAATGGGTCCCCTCGTATGAATAACCTGCCCTGTCACAACACCATTTACTAGCACATCATATTTTATCGTTGAGATACATACCATAATCAACCTCACCCAATCCTCCTCAAACCCTAGCTTTCAAAGCATGCACATCAAACGGCGGCAGTCGGACGCTGGCAGGTATCGTCTTCTCCGACGAATTTCCACAGATCCGGCCAAGAAAAGGGTAGGGAAAAAAAAGAGATGTAAAAAGACTAAAATACCCCTATTATTTTAACTATTAAAATTTTCTAACGAAATTCGGTCTGCAATTTGGCTGGAGTGACGAAAATTGATAAAAATTGCATAGTTAAAGTACTAAATTAACAGTTTTGAAAGTTGTGGACTGCAATTAACAGGACCCTTATAGTCACAGGACCAAAATTGAAATTTACTCATCAAAAATGGTCTCTCAACTATGTAAAATTTTACTTATTTTAATCATCCATTACTTATGTTGATTGTTGAGGACTAAATTAAGTACATTTTTGCATAATCAAGAACCATTTTGGATGAACTGGAATGAGGACCAATATGAGAATTACAACATTTTTTTTTGAAACGTGAGAATTATAACATAGACACATAGTTGAGAGACATTTTAGGTATTATCTCATAATAATATTCGTATAGTATTACTACTCTGGCTTGTGTTTAGTCTTGGTTATCTGTGTATAATGAATGATAGTAACTTGATGGCTTCCCAACAACTATTGATTCACACTATTCAGCATTGTTAGATGCAAATATAATTGGGAGGAACTCCTAATCAAGTTGGTCACACAATTAGCTAGATAATCATAAGGTACGTACATATTTTACAATGACAAAGTCACTAAAATAATTACACAATAATAAGATAACATATTGTTAGTTGCGTTGTAAGGCACCTTCGTCGTTTCTATTTTTTATTTATTTTTAATGAATGCTTTTGACTTCCTAACAAGTATTGATTCAGAAAATATATATTGCCACCTTTCACTTTGTTGTTTTATTTGGGTGAGGCAAACTGGAACATAGGACACTGATTTTTTACCGTGTTGGTGTGCTAATTGTGCGTGCAGTATTTATTATTGTATCAGATCCTTAATAGGCTAAAATACATACATTCCATCCGTGAATATTATTCATAGAGACTGGAAGCCAAAAAAACGCAAATTATTCTGTGGACTCGGGTCTATCTTGTAAGGTGGATCTGAGTTTAAAAATACACAATTTATATATTGTATGTTCATAATTTACTTATTGAATATTCACAAATTTTATATACTGAATATTCACATTTTACATACCGAATGTTCACAATTTACATACTAAATATTCACAATTTACATACTGAATATTATGATATTAAGATTTGTGAGTTTGGTCTTGCCCAGACAAACTTATGTATTGAGGTGGGCACATAAGATGTTGATATATACTGGATTGTACGTACCGCACGGCCGAGCTTGTGTTGATGTCTTCAGATTATAGTGCTGGTGTAGATGTGTGGTGTGTTGGTTGTATCTTGTTGGAATTTTTAGCTAAAAATGGCATTTTGAGTGATTATTTTGTGGTACAAATATATGTGGGTCCACTTCCGATTTGGGTCGGGTCAAAGTGGATTCGGGTTCTTCGTAGTGAGACGAAGAATTTGATATAATGTACGCTCAAAATGGGTAATAGGTGAATGAGAAATTGATTCTCAATGTGAACCTATTTGAGAGAAGCCGAAATCTTAAGCTAATTGCTAATTAAATTAGCAATTCGTTATTAAGCTTGTTTCGTTGTACACGAGGTGTGCAAGAAAGTAAGCTTGATTAAGCTTAAGTGTTGTGGTTAAGCTTTGATAGCTTAAAGAATGATTAAGCTTGAAAGCTTAATTAGTGAATTGGGAAAGTGTACTTTCGTGCTATGCTTTGTGCATGGACGAAAGTTGTGCATGAATTGAGCTTAAGCTTTGGATTCCAAAGTAGCTCATTTCGTGCTGTGGATTCGGTGTGCACGAATCAAATCTTATATGCATTGATTCGTGCTGCACCGTTTCGGTGCTTGCGGACCACTCGGGTGTGGTTTCCGGTCCCAATTCGTTAAACCTTCGGGTTTCTACGGACTTCTCGGTCACTCAGATATTTTGAAACGGGTCGTTGTGGTCGGTACGAATTAATCGCGTATTAAGTTCGTGACCGTTGGAATTATTACGATAATAATTACGACCGTTTCAAACGTTATTATCCAATTATTAAATTTTGAATTTATATTGGTTAATGGCCATGAATATGCTATTTAATTCCTCTATCCCTACAAATACCTTGGGTGGTTGGCAGAATTTTTGGGCACATTCTTGTTGAAACTCTCAAAATCTTTCTTTGTTTTCTCTCTACTCTCATCTCGTTTACAAAGGGAAATTTCTGCCAACATCTTCTGAAAACATCGGAGTGCTCAACTTGTGTTCTAGTTCGCCGGGCTTTGGGTTGGAGTGCTCAAACGCCAAAGTCGTAGTCCGTTTTATCCTGGGAGACTGACGCCACAACGATCCTAGCACCCTCGGGAGGTGGCGAATCGGTTTTAAGGAGAGTGTGTGTACACACGACTCGGGCTTCATCTGCTTCTTCTTGTTTCTTCGCGTTGGGTTAAACCTCAGGTTAGAAACCCGTTCTTATTTTATTTCGTTCTTGGTTTTGGACCAAGTGGTGGGATTAATCTTAGAAAGATTAAATCCTTGTACTAGTTTCGTGCTAGTTGTGGTGGGATTAATTTCGTGGAAATTAAGTCCCGTGTACTAGTCTCGTACTAGTTGTGGTGGGATTATTTTGATAAAATAAATCCCTAGTTGGTTAATATATATACGAGGTATATATATATGTAATTTTGGTTTCGTACCAAAATTGTTTGGAATTAATTTTCTATAAATTAAATTCCATTTTTCGGGACATATATATATTTTATATATATTTTGTGTATCGATTTATTCACTAATTTCCAACAATCTTAAAATCGATTAATTTTTGGTGAATAAAGTCGATGGATTCCACGAGTGGTGGAACCGTGAATGTTGCTCGTGGTGCACATTCATTTGGTCGGATCGGCAACGTAGTTGCACAATCCGGAACCCCGGTGAACTTTGGTTCGGAGACCGGTGGTGGCATCAAAGGGTATATCCCTACGATGAAGGTACATGGGACGGTACCTTGTGGATTGGTCGAAAGACCAAGGAAATTCACAGAGTTGAATTTCGAAGGGTTGCAACTTAAAGTGTTGTTCAGCCTAGTGGTTCTTGGCATGTCATGGTTCTTGACCGAGATGGTTCCTAGTGGAAAGGAACATGAGTCTAACGCTCAAACCGTTAGCATAGTAAGGATTTGGAAATATTTGGTTTTCCTATGCCTAAACTATGTTTTGAATGGTTTGTGTGACTCATTGTGGGAATCTTTGGACCTGAAGTATAATAGTGATGACGCTAAGGCAAAAATGTTTGTCGTTAGCCGATTACTTGAATACAAGATGGTGGATTCCGGGATCGTCCTAAGTCAAGTTGACGAAGGAATGATCGTGAGTGAAGCCTTTCAAGTGGAATCTGGTATCCATTTGTTGCCTTTGGGCAGAAAGGACTTCAAGAAGCAATTCCACGGAAAATGCTTGAATGGCTTAACGGCCATAGTGGTATGTAACAAACGTGTTGCATGGTTGAAATCTCGTAAAGGACTTCGGTTCTAGATTTCAAGTATAGTCAATTTGTCAAAATTGGGATGGCTATATAATCGTGAGCGTCAAAGCTCAAATGTGTTGAATATTTTAAATAATATTCTTAATACGATTATATAAGCTTGATTCAACTAGTTGGAAAATTTGGTTGATATAATCTTGTTAATTGTGTGAAAATTAACTTGATTAAAGATACCAAATTGTACTAGTATGAAATTAATTTGTGACAAATGACAGAAGTGTTGGGACTACAAAATAAATCTTGAACCACCTAACTTGCGAGTAATGGTGTAATGATTTATAAAGTTGACACTATTGTGGATTAAGACAAGGTTTTGTCTAATTTTTTGGAATGAAGGCAAGGGTTAATTACTAATTGGGCTATAAGCTCGGTGTAATAACCGTAATTAATAAGAACATTATTAATTGGTCTTGCCTGGTTGGGTCTTCGTGTTTGTGGCACGGTAGACAAGGTCATGGTAATTTTGAATCTATACGTAGATTAGTTAGCATAGACCACATTCCAAATTTAATGATAAGCACAAATATGATATTTGTGATGTGGCAAAACCACCGAGAAGTGAAGTGCACATCTCGGGTCTGAGAAGTGCTAGAAGCACCTCTAGGCCATGTGATCGAGAAGTAAACATACGTTTCGGTCATAGGCGAGTTATCGAGAAGTGAAGGTACGTAACCTTTCGGGTATCTTCGGGTGACATCTTGGATGTACTTCTCGGAGTATCAACGATAGCACTCGATTGTGCTAAGTGAATTTTGCTTAAGAGCAAAGATGAAGCCGTTGATAAATTCATTCTTTATAAGAATGAAGTGGAAAACCAACTTAATCGGATGATTAAGAAGGTTAGAAACGATCGATGTAGTGAATATGAAACACCTATTGGTGATTTTGCGTAAGCGATGGTATCGTACTCGAGCGTACGACACAGTATTCACCTCAATCGAACGTTGTTGCCGAACATAAATATCAAGACGTTGATAAGTTCGGGTCTACCTCAAAGTGTGTGGGGTGAGACAAGACTTTGGACAAGTAAGTACCTTTTAAATAAGGTTACCCGCGTGAAACTCGATAAGGCTTCTTATGGGTTATGGGTACGTAGGAAGCTTTCCTACTAATTCCTGAAATGTGGGGGTGTCTTGCCAAAGGCGTTTTTTGGTTCTTAGTACACGAGTCCTATGTTCTGGACGTACATAAGAACACGATAAATTGAATCAAGAAATTCGTTGCTCTTTGAGAATGTATTTCTGCGAAGGTTCAATGAATGGACCTAGCACGTTGAAACGAACGTTCGACGTAGCTGTGGTTGGAGGGTATGAAAGAGAACCCGAGCTCGAAGCTAGACGTAGCAAGAGAGCTAGGATTTGAAAAATCCTTTGGTCCATATTTTCTGACGTACATGTTAGAATGTGATGCGCATATTCTAACTTGTTTACTAGAAAATGAACCAGATTTTCTGACACAGTTGTTAGAAAATGAGCCTCGAACGTATGTAGAAGTGGTGACTTCTACAGATGGACCAACATGAGAGAGGCTACCGAGGTGAAGTAGATTCTATCTTAAAGAATCATACTTGAAACTGGTTGTTCTTCCTCCGGGTTGTAAAACCTCTGGATCTTAGTGGATCACGTGTCGGAAGATAAAAACTGGTTGGTTATATTGAAGTAAATGGCTGGGCGTGTAATTGTAGATTACATGCAACGCGAGAGCCACGGTTACTTCGATATATATTCTCTTGTGATGAGAATGAAATCCATTAGAATGATACATGCCAAAGCTGCTTAGCGAGACTTGGAAGTTCATCAAATGGATGTGGAAAATCACTTTTTTAATAGACATGGAACGACCTGAGGGTTTTGTGGTTCCGCGCTATAGAAAGAAAGTGTGTGATTGGTGAAATCATTGTATGGTTTGAAACAATTGCCTAAGCATTGGCACGTGAAGTTTGATCATGCAATGATAACCAATGAGTTTAGTATAAACGAAAGTGAAAAGTGTGTCTACGTAATGGATACGATAGACGGTGATATCACTATTTGTTTATACACGATAAACTCACCGTGGGTAGTAACGATCAGTTGATCAAATCTACCAGGAATATGTTAAATTTGAGATTTGACATGAAGGATGTGAGTTTGGCAGATTTAATCTTCGGGATTAAAAGCGTGAGAAGACCGTATGGTCTCGTGTTAAGCCAATCTCATTGTGTTGATTGAATCCTTGCAAAGGATGATAATCAAGTGGCTTGGACACCGTTAGATACTAACGTACAACTAGCCAATAATCACAGAGATTGTATTTCTCATGGAGAATAAATTCAGATTATTGGTAGTTTAATTGTATCAAATGGGTGGTACTACGCCGGATATTGCCTTGCGGTTAACAAACTCGGTTGACATACGAGTAACCCTAGTGATACGCACTAGAAGGCAATAATGGAAGTTATGAGATACTTAAGGTATGCTCGTGACTTTGGACTACACTACGTGGGATATGTACCTGTAAAAGGACGCTAAGTCCATTGAAGGCTACGTGTTTACGTAGGCCAGTGCAGTTGGTTGTATGGAAATTCTCGAAACGATTTGTGATAGCTAAGATCCATGACGGGATCAAAGCTGAGAGCCTTACACTCGTGTCGCGAGCGAGTAGGCCGAATGGCTATGCCATTTTTCGAGAATGTTCCTAGAGATAAACTCGTACCTCCAATTTGTGTGCGTTGCGATAGTCAAGCCAAAATTGGTTAAGTACAGAGTTAGATGTGGAATGGTAAGTCTAGACTTATAAGTCGTAGACATAATACCATTAAACAATTTCTCACAACATGGGTTATCTCTATTGACTACGTGATGTCAAAAGATAACGTAGCGGCCGCTAACTCGCTAACCCGAGGGTAAGCAAATGGTTGTTGAGAAATTGACACAAGGAATGGGTTTGAAGCCCTTGGAATAAAAAAAGTTCTATAGTGGACACCCAACCTAGCTGGCACCTAGGTTCAATGGGACAACTAAATTATGGAACGAAGCGTGTCACTGTGGGGGTCTCGGACTCCCTACCATTCCTCGTAAGAACAGTGACTCCCGCACGAGGCTAGCATGTTGATGCTTTAATGATTCGAATGTCGGTTGACATGTGTGAGTATGCGGGATACTCGATAAAGAATCACCTATGTTAGAGAGAAGTGGGGTCGCTTCAAAGGAGAATTTATGGGCTCAATTCTTTAGAAACTCTCGCAGAACCAGGAAAGTGACCCATGACCAAAACGGGCACACCCATGAGAACAGAACAAAGGTTGGAAAGTTCCTGTGTGGGATATGTCATCGTCTACACAAACGGCAGTTGGTTCAAAGACATCAAGTTCTACCATACAGCTAGTAGAGTAAACATATTTTCACAAGGTAAGGTTCAAAGGGTAACACCTACCTATGCTATGCAGGGATCGACCGTTGAGCACGTTCATGTCGATTTTTCCTCGTCCCGAAAATCAATTTTCATTCATGTGGGGGATTGTTGGAATTTTTAGCTAAAAATGGCATTTTGAGTGATTATTTTGTGGTACAAATATATGTGGGTCCACTTCCGATTTGGGTCGGGTCAAAGTGGATTCGGGTTCTTCGTAGTGAGACGAAGAATTTGATATAATGTACGCTCAAAATGGGTAATAGGTGAATGAGAAATTGATTCTCAATGTGAACCTATTTGAGAGAAGCCGAAATCTTAAGCTAATTGCTAATTAAATTAGCAATTCGTTATTAAGCTTGTTTCGTTGTACACGAGGTGTGCAAGAAAGTAAGCTTGATTAAGCTTAAGTGTTGTGGTTAAGCTTTGATAGCTTAAAGAATGATTAAGCTTGAAAGCTTAATTAGTGAATTGGGAAAGTGTACTTTCGTGCTATGCTTTGTGCATGGACGAAAGTTGTGCACGAATTGAGCTTAAGCTTTGGATTCCAAAGTAGCTCATTTCGTGCTGTGGATTCGGTGTGCACGAATCAAATCTTATATGCATTGATTCGTGCTGCACCGTTTCGGTGCTTGCGGACCACTCGGGTGTGGTTTCCGGTCCCAATTCGTTAAACCTTCGGGTTTCTACGGACTTCTCGGTCACTCAGATATTTTGAAACGGGTCGTTGTGGTCGGTACGAATTAATCGCGTATTAAGTTCGTGACCGTTGGAATTATTACGATAATAATTACGACCGTTTCAAACGTTATTATCCAATTATTAAATTTTGAATTTATATTGGTTAATGGCCATGAATATGCTATTTAATTCCTCTATCCCTACAAATACCTTGGGTGGTTGGCAGAATTTTTGGGCACATTCTTGTTGAAACTCTCAAAATCTTTCTTTGTTTTCTCTCTACTCTCATCTCATTTACAAAGGGAAATTTCTGCCAACATCTTCTGAAAACATCGGAGTGCTCAACTTGTGTTCTAGTTCGCCGGGCTTTGGGTTGGAGTGCTCAAACGCCAAAGTCGTAGTCCGTTTTATCCTGGGAGACTGACGCCACAACGATCCTAGCACCCTCGGGAGGTGGCGAATCGGTTTTAAGGAGAGTGTGTGTACACACGACTCGGGCTTCATCTGCTTCTTCTTGTTTCTTCGCGTTGGGTTAAACCTCAGGTTAGAAACCCGTTCTTATTTTATTGCGTTCTTGGTTTTGGACCAAGTGGTGGGATTAATCTTAGAAAGATTAAATCCTTGTACTAGTTTCTCTTCTCTTCCTACATGGAGATTTAAATGAAGAAGTATATATGAAACTACCTCCTGGCTTCTCTTCTAACAAGGCTGCTCAAGTGTGCAAGTTAACAAAGTCCCTCTATGGTCTAAAGCAAGCTAGTCGACAGTGGAATGTCAAGCTAACACATGAGTTGATAAAAATGGGCTTTAAACAGGCCATCTCTGATTCATCTTTATTTACCAGAGGCACACATGATAACTTTGTAGCTCTGCTGATTTATGTAGATGATGTGATCATTGCAAGCCCTGATCTGAGTCAGGTCCAGCAAATTAAAGAGCACTTGGATACTGTATTTCATATTCAAGACATAGGAACTTTAAAGTTCTTCTTGGGGCTGGAAATTGAAAGAAATAGCAAAGGCATCTCAATGACTCAAAGAAAGTATACACTAGAGCTACTTGAAGAAACTGGTTTTTTACATTGTAAACCAGCAAAGACTCCTATGGTTACATCAGTCAAGCTAAGCAAAACCAATGGAAACAAACTTCTAGATGCTACTCAATACAGAAGACTTGTGGGAAAGCTGCTCTATCTCACAAGTACTAGACCTGATATAAGCTATGCAACACAACAACTGTCTCAAT